CTATTTTTCTGTTAATAGGAAGATAATTAAGCTGCATGAACATCTCTTAATTGTTACCTCATATAATTTATGTGACCACTTTATTATATGACTAGGATTAGCGACTGTGAAACTAGAATTAATAGAAAAATAGGTAAATTCATGTGTGAGCTTGTGTGATGACCATCAACGAGAGGTTAACTAAAGGACCAATTTAGTTAGCTATTACAAGTCTTAATTAACCCGAATAAATAATCTAGTGAATTGAATTAAATTAGACAACTGGCCACTGTTTGAGTTAGTTTGTTCTCTAAGGATTAGTGCAGCGAACGTGAATCTAATCACCTGAATCGGTAGCCAATAGAAAAATCAATCCATTGCACTATTGCCATAATGTCAACCATAGGATCAATTGAGTTGAACTAAACAGAAGTTCCTTTCATTATTGAATTTAGTTGAATCTTTGCTTATCTAAGTTTTAGTTAATTAATCTAAGTATTAGTTAGTAAGTTTCTAGTCTTGTAAAACTAGACAAAACCTTTTATCAACTTGTTTTATTTAGATAATATTAGCATTTATTTTAATTGTTTACCATTCCCTGTGTTCGATACCCTACTTGCTTGAACTATATTACTAATCGATAGGTTCACTGCCTTTCGTGTGTTTATTTTGTGTCTAAGTTAGTAGGATTAAAACTAGTTCGTTTCACACACATCAGTACCTATTATATGTGTATCAGCTTGATGAGAATTGCATGCTAGTTAGGGCTAAGGATCTAGGAAGGATGCCTTATGTGCCTGTTATATGTGTACCACCTTATTGAGAGATGCATGCTAGTACAGATTAGTCAGTATGATAGCCAGAGTAGTATATACTTGAGTATGTGTACTCAACGCACAGATGCTGCTTGCTTTGTGCTTCTAGGAGCTCTAGTTGTCTTTCACTAACTAGTAAACGAATATGTTAAGTTACATATTACAAGGACTAAATAATTCCAGAAGGTTAGGTCTAGCTCTATTTCGCAGCTCTTGTTTGAGTCCAACCGTTGTGGGGTAGGATCTCTCATTTAAAGAATCATCTAGTCTGAGTAATATGTAATAGTATTCGCGAGCTAGTTAGGGGAAGAAAGAAGGAACTTCTTATGTAGCTGATGGCAGGGAGTGAGTTGGTGATTACCCTAGGGCAAACCTAGGATGAGAGTAGCAGAGAGCAGTAGCAGTAGAAGGGACTTGGTGGAGTCAAGGCAGTTCTTGAGGAAAGTACGGATAAATGTGGAAGGTAGTATGGGCCCGTACTACTGAAAGCAGAGGATTCGTACTCGAATCAAGGAAGGCTAAGACAAGACCAAGAAACTTGTGGTAGAAGTGATCCCTCTAGTTATGTCAGTATTTCTGATGATTATTATCATGTGTTGCAGAATGGTGGTTTTACGCCATAGACCAGCAGTCGGCAGTTCAGGTGCCGGAGAGGGATCAGGTTCAGGCTCGGGAGCCGAGCATTTGGATGAGCAGACCAGAGAGTTCATCTCTTCAGAGGTCACATGCAGCATATTAGACCAGACTCCTGTGATTTTGGATCGGTCAAGGAGGGTATCCTAGAGCTTCTGGATGAGAAGCTGGGCACGTTCCGTACTGAGATAGCGACCATGATGGGATCGCACACATTGACGTTCAAGGAGTTCAGAGCTTGTGGAGCTCCAGATTACCAGGGGCCCGAGGGGGACAAGGTCCGACTTGCATCCTGTCTTCTGAAGGGCAGGGCACGTGATTTGTGGGAGGAGGTCAGACATGTCATTGGGGATGCTTCAACCCTTGATGCTATGACCTGGGCGGATTTTGCGACCAGATTCAGAGCCGAGTTCGCACCTGTTATTGAGGTGCAGCAGCTTGCCAGAGAGTTTCAGGATCTCCAGCAGACGACGGAGACAGTGGCAGAGATTACCGCCAAGTTCAGGGAGAGGGCTCTTCTCATTCCTCAGTACGCGGCAGACGAGGAGATGAAGAAGGCCCGATACCATGAGATGTTGAGGAGTGATATCAGGCAGTTTGTGAGCCGGTCCAGCAGTAAAATGTTGGACGATATGATTGCGAGGGCTCGTGAGAGAGAGATTGATTTAGAGGTGGAGAGGAAGAGGAAGCCAGAGATGGTATCTGGCACAGGGAGTTCGGGAAAAAAACCCAAGGTATCAGATCACAGATCCAGAGGACAGCAGAGCCACAGTAGGTGTGGCAAGTGTGGGAGATTGCACGATGGGGCGTGCAAGGCAGGGATCTTCGGCTGCTACAAGTGCGGTCGGACTGGGCATATGAGTAGAGATTGTACAACCACCACCACCACCACATCAGCTGATCTGATTTGCTTCCATTGCAATCAGAGGGGACATAAAAAGTCCCAGTGCCCGAGTTTAGCAGCATCAGGGAAGGTGGTAGCACCTGCCCCTGCTACTATGAGGATTACAGATGACCGTCATGGTCGGGCTGAGGCGCCAGTTGCGAAGAGTAGAGCTTTCCAGATGACAGCAGGAGGCGCGGGCAACTCCTGATGTGGTGGCGGGCATGTATTTTCCTCTTATCTCTGTTTTAGTATTGATTGTTTCCTATGGTTATGTGTTTGTGTTAAGGGTCGTTCTTAGTGAACGGCATATCAGCTACAGTATTGTTTGGCTCGAGGGCTACCCGATCGTTTGTTTCGCTTGCGCTTAGCAAGCGGTTTAGCAGAGCTCCAGGGGAGCTGGATTGCCCACTTGAGGTTGAGATAGCTGATGACAGGACCGTCAGGGTCACAAGGGTACATAGGGGGTGTTCGCTGCGGTTATTTGATGATCAGTTTTCAGTAGATCTGGTTCCTATTCCCCTGCGAGGGAATAAGGTCATAGTGGGTATGGACTGGTTGAGCCCCAATGGGGTAGTGATTGATTGTGAACTGCAGTTAGTGAGGGTTCACACTCGTAGTGGGGGAGAGTTAGTGATTTAGGGCGAGAGGCCGCAGTGCGGACCAATTCTGTGTTCAGCAGCGAGAGCGAGGCGCTACTTTCAACAGGGTTGCGCGGGGTACGTCACCTATGTTTTAGATGCTCGGGAGAAGGGCAAGGCGACAGTTGACGATGTATCGGTAGTACGCCGGTACCTGGACTTATTTCCAGAGGATTTTCCTGGGATACCTCCTGAGAGACAGGTTGATTTCAGGATTGACCTGGTTCCTGGTGCTGCTCCAATAGCCAAGGCACCGTACCGATTGGCTCCTCCCGAGATGTAGGAGTTGTCTACGCAGCTACAGGAGCTGCTAGACAAGGGGTTTATCAGACCGAGTAGTTCACCATGGGGGTCCCGATCCTGTTTGTGAAGAAGAAGGACGGGTCATACCGTATGTGTATAGATTACCGGGAGTTGAATAAGGTGACGGTGATGAACCCTTACCCACTTCCGAGGATAGATGACTTGTTTGATCAGCTCCATGGAGCATCTTGGTTCTCCAAGATTGATTTGTGCTCTGGTTATCATCAGATGCGGGTCAGAGGTGAGGACGTACAGAAGACCGCTTTTAGGACCCGCTATGGTCATTATGAGTTCATGGTGATGCCATTTGGGCTCACCAACGCACCAGCCGCGTTCATGGATCTCATGAACCGCGTATGCAGACCAATGTTAGATCGGTCTGTGATAGTGTTCATCGATGACATCTTGGTCTATTCCAAGACTCAGGAGCACCTGAGGGAGGTGCTAGAGACACTGAGGAGGGAGAAACTTTTCGCAAAGTTCTCCAAGTGTAAGTTCTAGTTGCGTGAGGTGCAGTTCCTTGGACACCGTGTCAACTAGAAGGGTATACTAGTAGATCCGGCCAAGATAGAGGCCGTGATGCAGTGGGAGATTCCGAGCTCTCCATCTAAGATTCGGAGCTTCCTAGGGTTGGCAGGGTACTATAGGAGATTCATCAAGGATTTCTCCAAGATAGCAGTTCCGCTCACTCGACTGACCAAGAAGTCGGTGGCATTTTGCTGGGGGCCTGAGCAGCAGGCATCATTTGAGACCCTCAGGCAGAGATTATGCGAGCCACAGATTCTTACCCTGCCATAGGGAGTGGATGACTATGTAGTCTACTGTGATGATTCGATCACAGGTATGGGAGCATTCACTATAAGAAAAAGACCCTTTTACGATGCGCAAACCACGACACTCACTTATTTATGTTACGCAAAAGAGAGTGACATTAAAAAAGTGTCATCTCTTCATAAAATTTTAGGATTTAGGTCACGCATTATCGTGTGCCCTTAAATTAGTGTCTTATGTAAAAAAATTAAAAACACGGAGGGCACTTTATCTAAAATGTGCGTCCTCTGTGAACGTCGCTTTATGATTTTTACTCAAAACGCGCATTCTAAAAAATTTTAAATACCCCGCTTCAAGATCCCCCTTCGTTCTCTTCTTCCCTCCTCTCTGCAAACCCTAATCACGATACCATCTCTACTCGCGTTCATTCCTGAAGATCACAAAATGGCGACCAACAATTAGGGATTTTAAACCCCCGCCTATTCTATCTAAAAATTAAAAATCCCCCCTTTTCCAAAGAAAGAAGCCCTAAGTCTTCGTCTTCACCACCTTCAGCGCCTCCAACGCTTCTGTGGCCATCCAACCTATATTTATCTCTTTATGCATGTCTATTTTCATTTCTACGCTGAAAGAGCTTTGAGGGGAATGATTTGAATGCGGATTTGGAAATTGGGTTTGAGTAATTATGAGTTGATTCTACTGCATTCTCCCAGGACGCGATGTATTCTTTTGTTTATTCAAGTTTGGGATTTAAGTTTCATTGACATTTTTTCTTCAGGTAACACCTGCTATCGAGAAGATGGGTGGACGCGAAGGGATTAGGAGGAATTCAACCCTAATCTTTGCACCGATAATGGCGGATACGGTGGATCAGATGTTGATTCAAATGAATCCGGGGAAATCTTATGGTGCTGAACTCGTTGATATCTGTCTCTGATTATCCCTCATGACTTCCACACACAAACACTATCGATCATGAAACGTATTCAAGGTAATCGTCATTCTCCCTCTTCTTCTCTCTCCTCTTTTGTTACCGCCGATCAACCTACTGCCTCCACTACCACCATCACAACCTTCTACTCTGCGCTGCTTCCATCACTCTATGAGAAAAAACCTAAAACCTTCTACCGCCATCACAACGATGCTTCACCTGCTGAATCAACAGTTATGACAACTACCTCTTCATCCGTCGATCCCAATCAAAACCTAAACCAAGTCATCAATTCAATTCAGAAAACCCTAGGAACCATCCATCAGCTCTACTTCACTGTCTCTTCCTTCAACGGTTCCTCCCAACTCCCACTTCTCCAACGCCTGTAAGTTCTTTACCTGTGTATTTATCAATTTGATGTATTTTCTTAACACGAGCCTGTATCTAGATTGCGATACTAACTCGCTATGTCAAATAAATTCTTAATGAAATCATCTACTTCAAATTTTATAACGTGAAGGATTTGTAAGGACAACATGGATAAAATCTTTGGGGATTGTTCAATTCCACAAGAAAAATCGAATGCTTATATAAACGAGGAGTTGGAGTTATATGAAGCATTTGGTGAGGAAGATGCTTCTAATACACAGTTGAATTCCAGTCAATCGGGATAAAAGCAGCTAATAGGTACTTGTTGACTTGTTGACCTGACAATCGTTTGTTTGCTTGAACTTCCATCTCTCATTAATCATGCGCTTGTTGCAGATGCTTCACAACTCTCTTGGAAGCTTATAAAGACAAACATGTTTCTGCATCGCAATCATAAAAATCAGACTATTGATGAGGTTATTTCTTTTTATTATTTATTAGATCTAACATGTAGTGTGTTTGCTAAAATGTGTGTTCTTGTAATGACTATTAGAATAGCAGTGAGGTTAGTACGCCCTTTAAATACACCTTTTGGATGAGATAAACAACATTTTATTTCAGATTTTAGACGATCATTCTGCATTGTTTTTGTACTTCTTCTTATTCCAATGTTGATAAACAACATTTTATTTCAGGTTATTTTTGTCTTTAAGAAACTTGTAATTGGTGTGGGCTATTCTGAGTTTTAGTTTTAGTTTTCAGGGTTAATTGCAAGAAAAAGAAATAAAATTTCATTTGTTTTCTTTGATCTATGTTCTTAGGAGCTTTGTGAGGTTCCTTGATGAAAAAAAGTCAGCATCTTCTACTGCAAGATATGGCTCACAGGTCCTTCTTACACTCAAATCAAGGAGTCGATGTCCTAGACCAAGGTATCATGAGAATGTAGTTTTGACCATTCTACCCTTGTATTGGAGTTGATGTTTACCCAATGTAGTTCCAGGTATAGAGATGAATACAGGGGCTACAGGAGGAGAAGTCGCAGCAGAAGCCCTGATTATCATAGAAGACACAGGAGGGGTAGATATGATGATGATTATGACGATGAGAGAAGCCCAAGACGTAAATACCCTTATCATTGAAAATAGCATCCATAAAAAGTTTTTTTTTGTCTGTTTAAAGTTAATGTTTTGTTAGGAACCTGATGGACTATTCACTATTCTATATGTGTTTGTTACTTACATAGAAGTACTAGTGTTGAAAAGACTAGAATGCCCTTATCATGTGATGTGTCAATAAACTGATGGATTACACAGAAGCAGGTCTCCTCCACGTAGGAGTAGGTCACCTTCTAGAAGCAGAAGCCCTGAAGGAGGAGGAAATGAGAAAGCATCAGCATCATCACCCTATTCCCATGGGCTGATACTTTTTTACTGATTACCTGTGGAATCATTGATTCTGGGTGTTGATATTTTTTTTACTGATTACTTTTTATCTTATTTTTGACAGGAATAATTTACTGAAATAAGGTTTGAAAGATGGATTCTTGAATCATTGATTCCGGGTGTTGATATTTTTTTACTGATTACTTTTTATCTTATTTTTATCTTATCAATTGGTCTAGATAGCTCAATAACGTATCAAATTGTGAAATGCATAAAGAATTTTGTTCATCAAATGGAAGCCACAGTTCTGATGGCTCTTCTTCAGCCTGCACCTGAAACATTTGATCTCTTTGATGATCTGTTGGTATATGAAGGTCATGTGGTATATGAAGGTCCCCAAGAACAAGTGCTTGAGTTATTTAAATCATTAGGTTTTCAAAAGCCCCTACGTAAAGGCACTGCAGATTTTCTTTAAGAGGTATTTGATTATTTTTCTAGACTATAACTTTTTACCAGGAAACTTTGATGCTGATCTGTAAATTTATATAGGTCACATCAAGAAAAGATCAGGCTCAATATGGGCTGATACTAGTGATGTAGCATGGACACAACTTTTCCGTAGCTAAGAGGAGATTCCAATAGTCTTTAATGATATCCTTTAAAGGACCATTACCTTGCTAGATAAGTCATCAGTATGCTAGATAAGTCTTTAATGATATCCTTTAAAGAGACTTATTGAGTCCTTACAATAAACATACTAATGACTTATTTGGATTTGACCTTGAAAGGACCATTACCTTGCTAGATCTCTATAAACATACTGATGACTTATGTCACCTTTTTTTATTATTTTTTTCTCAGAGATTGCAGAAGTGTTTGCGAGCTTATGGTTTTGATGTCATCAGACAGATAATGGCTGATGTCAGTTACTTGTGTCAGGTAATTGTAGTTTCTATGGTTGTGGAAACTTTTTATGGGAAGAGTAATTTTCTCTTAAGATTAAGGTTTTATGTCTAGTGTGACTCATAAAATATTTTATATATTATTAATTATTATTAACCCTTGATTGTGGTATAATATGTAGGGTTTGCTTGGACCAATGGGGTTGATGAGTATAGCTCCTGCAGAAGTTTATGCAAATTTGAAAAGGAAATTTTTTTACTTTTTATGAACTTTCAAAGCAACTTTTATTGTTTCACATCACTTGACATTTGATCATTTTCAGCACATGAAAAGTTTCCCTGATAGGGGCGCACATGATTTGCTATCAGAAAATGAAATCCAGGTGAGCATAATATAAACACCAATCATGATTAAAAATAAAACTTTTGTTATTCTTTGATTTTCATGATTTGATGCAGATTTTCCGTACCCCTGACGGGATGCTATCCACTGAGCAAGGCATTTATATTACAGAGTCTGTAGCTTCTAATAACTTGAAACAAGCAAAAGGCCGCATCAAGACTTATGAGAACAATGACAACATGGTGATGACAATAACATCATATAATTCCTTAAGCAATGATAATGACATAAAGCATGTTCAGGAAAATGGCAACTCAAATTCTGGAAGGCGAGACACTGGTGGCAAAGAGCGTTCTATTGTAGGGAAGAAAGATGCAGGGAAACCAACAAAAAATCCTGGCAAGTGCTTTATTTTTTTTTATTATCTCTTTCTTAAACATAAGCAAATGTATTTATATTTTGCTTTTTTCTTTTTTTGGTTAATCTAGATAAACATAAGACATCAAAAGAGGAGGAACGTGAGGTGCAGCTTAATAAGGTGCTACTTAATGAGGAAGACAACCAACAGGGTAAGGCTACTTACTTATCTTATGGTTATTATTATTATTTATTGCTATATGTTAATGTTATCTTTTTTATTAATGTATAGGTTAATTCGTTCGGAATCTAACACAGCTGGAAGAAGGTCGTAGATACTTTCATTTGGACTTGGTTATACAAATAGGTTATATAGTTAGGGAAAACCTCTTAATAGCAATGTACAATTAGATCCCCTTAATACCAATGTATTACAATGTATTGTATTTTTGTATGACATTAACTTTTGTGTAATGTATTATATTTTTTGTATATGGTATTTTATTTTCTATTATGAGACATGAAATGCAAATTTAATTTGAAAATTAGTAAATCTATAAATAATATTTTTTTTAAACATTTAAAATTATGATACGCAAAAATGTGTGTCATCTTCATTTATGACATGGCCTTTCTTGACATGGGCTTTAATGATACGCAATGCGAGTCGTAAATGCGCGTCGTAAGGTTACGACATGCAAATGCGTGTCATCTTCCTTTATGACAGGGCCTTCCTTGATACGCAATGTGTGTCGTAAACGCGCGTCATAAATCCGTGTCGTTATTGCGCGTCGTAAATAGACGACGCTCAAAAGCGTGTCGTCTCTTGTTATGACAGGGTCTTTCTTGACACGCATTTGCGCGTCGTCTGAGCGTTTTATGAAACGCATTGCGCGTCGTAAAAGGCTGTTTTTCTAGTAGTGAGTGTTGATGCAGCGAGGGCATGTGATAACTTATGCCTCTAGACAGTTCAAGCCTCACAAGGCTAACTATCCGACGCACGATTTAGAGCTGGGGGCAGTGGTGTTCGCCCTCAATATTTGGAGACATTATCTCTACGGGGTCCGTTGTACCATCTACACGGATCACAAGAGTTTGAGGTACCTCATGGATGAGCCGAATCTGAACATGAGGCAGCGTCGATGGTTAGACGTGGTAAAGGATTCTGACTGTGAGATCCTTTCCTCTCCGGGCAAGGCCAACGTAGTTCCCGACACCCTGAGCCGCAAGGCGATGACGTCCCCGATCACAAATATATGTCTGAGGATGACAGTGATTACTCCATTGTTGGAGCAGATTAGAGAGGCACAGATTGAGGGCCTAAAGGAGGAAAGACAGAAGTGCGAGAGGATCATGGGCGGAGTAGCTTCTTTCGATTATGACAGTCGAGGATTGTTGACACTTCATGGGAGAGTTTGGGTACCGTACTGGGGAGGAGTACGACAGGTGTTGATGGATGAGGCCCACAAGTCTCAGTTCTCCATCCACCCAGGGGCGACAAAGATGTACATAGATCTCCGACCCGATTATTGGTGGCCCTGCATGAAGCGGGACGTAGCTTGGTATGTGGAGAGATGCCTGACCTGCAGGAAGGTCAAGGTAGAGCACCAGAGACCCCACAGCAAGATGCAGCCATTAGATATTCCCGTGTGGAAATGGGAGGATATCACCATGGATTTCGTTACCAAGCTACCCAGGACTGCACGTGGAGTTGATTCGATTTGGGTCATAGTGGATCGGTTGACCAAGAGCGCGCATTTCGTACCGATCCAGGAGAGTATATCGGCCGAGAAGTTAGCTTATATTTATGTGCGAGAGGTTGTGGCACATCATGGAGTGCCTGTTTCAGTAGTATCAGATCGAGACGTCTGGTTCACTTACAGGTTTTGGAAGCAGTTCCATGACGAGATGGGGACTCGTCTCCTTTTCAGCACCGTTTTCCACCCTCTGACGGACGGGCAGAGTGAGAGGACGATTCAGACTCTCGAGGACATGCTCTGGGCATGTGTCCTAGATTTTGGTGGCAGTTGGGATACGTACCTTCCATTGGCGGAATTTTGGTATAACAACAATTACCACTCTAGTATAGAACGGCCTCCCTTTGAGATGCTCTACGGGAGGAAGTGTAGGACCCCAATCTGTTGGGGCGATGTAGGTCAGAGAGTCATGGGGAGCACTGAGGTGGTGCTTAAGACCACAAAATTGATTCAGCAGGTTCGTAGCCAGCTCCAGACTGCTCAGAGTCAGCAGAAGAGTTACGCCGATAGGAGGCGTTCGGATTTGGAGTTTCAGATAGGCGATATGGTCGTCCTGAAAGTGTCACCCTGAAAGGGTGTCATCAGGTTCCGGAAGAGGGGCAAGCTGGGCCCCAAGTTCATTGGTCCCTTTAGGGTTTTGGCCCGGGTGGGTCGGGTTGCTTATTGGCTAGATCTTCCAGCAGAGCTTAGCAAGATCCACAACACTTTCCATGTGTCTCAGTTGCGGAAGTGTTTGGTGGATGAGTCAGCAGTTGTACCGTTGGAGGATATTCAGGTTGCTAGTAGCCTGAATTACATTGAGAGACCAGTTGCGATCTTAGATCGGAAGTCGAAGACATTGAGGAACAAGGTGGTTCAGCTAGTGAAGGTGCAGTGGCAGCATCGGAAGGGTTCAGAATGGACATGGGAGACCGAGGAGGAGATGAGGGAGCATTATCCGGAGTTATTTTCAGATTCAGTAGCAGCAGAGTTCGAGGATGAAGTCTGAGATAAGAGGGGGAGAGTTGTAACGCCCCGTTCCTGGTATGCATTTAAATCACTATTCTTGTTTTTATTTTAGAAGCTACTCGACGAGTCAGTGGCCCTAACTCGTCGAGTAGCAGCGGTTTTTGCACGTGGAGTTGGCGTGGCTACTCGACGAGTCCATATTCTGGACTTGGCGAGTCCGGCAGTCTGGGCGAAGCCCTAATTTTTAGGGAGTGTACCCTATTTAAACCCCATTATAGCCCCTAACCAGCCTCCTTCACCTCTCAGAGACTTGTTCCCGAAACCCTAGCCTCCTTGAAGTGGGTGTGAGTGATTTTTGCCCTTGTGAAGGAATCTTGGTGCATTGTTGAGCAAGAAGAAGAAGGAGAAGGTAGAAGAACTTAAGGAAGAAGAAGTAGATCCAGATTATACTCCCCTTTGGCCATCCTTTCTGGTAATAAAACTTTCATTTTGGTTATTATATTGCTAGATCTAGTTTGTCCCCAAATTGATGGTTTGAGCTCAAAAACCCCAAATCCCTAGTGATGAAGCTTTGTAATTAAGCCATATCTCAGATCTAGCCTCTCTTGAGTTCCAGGAGCTCAAGAAGGCCACCTTTTGGCAGCCATGGCCTTGTTCTAGACAAGTAACCCCCATTATAGCCAAGTTTGAGTGTTATTGCTTCATTGCATCTTAGATACACGTAAAGTTAGCAACTTTACGTGTTTAGATTGTCCCAGGAGCCTAGATCTATGAATTGGATGCACTGAAACTGATTAGAATCGACTGAATAGAATCTGCATGCAAGGGACTCGGCGAGTCGTTCTTCAGACTCGGCGAGTCAGGACGCAAGTCTTAGATTCCCTGTTCAGTAGAAGCGAGTCTGTTTAGCGAGTGGAGTAAAGACTCAGTGAGTTATGGCATGAATCTGAGTGTAGAGGGACTCGGCGAGTGTACGCCCTGACTCGGCGAGTCCAAGACAATCTCCTTCCCACAAGAACAGACTCGACGAGTTGTTCATACAACTCGGCGAGTCATAGACTGGACGTGTTCATATGATGAAGGAGGACTCGACGAGTTGTTCATGCAGCTCGGCGAGTCAGATAAAGGTTTACTCGAGGTCATTATAGAAGGAGAACTCGTCGAGTCTTCGCTAAACTCGACGAGTAGAGTCGGGAAAGGGAGTAGAAGGATAGATAGGGACTCGACGAGTTGGCGGCCCAAATCGGTGAGTCAGGTCAATGGATTGTTGACTTTGACCAGGGGGTAAAATAGTCATTTAACCCTAAGATTAGTTATCAGTGTCTGATTAAGTGTCTTTTGGGAATTGTAGCCGAGGAGTTACCGGAGCAGCAGTCAGACCGTTCCCGAGCAGCACCTTAGCAGCCAGCCTTACGAGGTGAGTTTACTTCCAGTAGGAACGGGTCTACGGCCACAATGCCGGCCCGGTTAGTTAGCAGTAGTTCCGGACTTCAGTCCGATACAGTAGTTCAGTATGCTTGGTGTCTTTGTGATACAGGCATGGTATGTGTTATGCGTTCCGGACTATGGTCCGATGCAGTATGCAGTATATGTGTTCATATTATATGCTATGATTATGTTATGCTATGTTCAGTCAGTTCCGGACTTCGGTCCGATGCAGTGGGCAATGCCCTAGTTAGTTCCGGACTTCGGTCCGATGCAGTGGGTAAGGCCCTAGTTAGTTCCGGACTTCGGTCCGATGTAGTGGGCGAGGCCCTAGTTAGTTCCGGACTTCGGTCCGATGCAGTGGGCATGGCCCTAGTCAGTTCCGGACTTCGGTGCGATGCAGTGGGCAAGGCCCTAGTCAGTTCCGGACTTCGGTCCGATGCAGTGGGCAAGGCCCTAGTTAGTTCCGGACTCCGGTCCGATGCAGTGGGCATGGCCCTTGTCAGTTCTTGACTTTGGTCCGATGTAGTGGGCAAGGTCCTAGTCAGTTCTGGACTTCGGTCCGATGCAGTGGGCAAGGCCCTAGTTAGTTCTGGATTCCGTTCTGATGCAGTGGGCATGGCCCTAGTCAGTTCCGGACTTCGGTCTGATGCAGTGGGCAAGGCCCTAGTCAGTTCCGGACTTCGGTCCGATGCAGTGGGCGAGGCCCAGTATGTGCTTTATATGTTATTGTATGGTATGTGGTAGTTTTGGGGAGCTCACTAAGCTTCGTGCTTACAGTTTCAGTTTTGGTTTCAGGTACTTCAGTTAGCAAGGGGAAGGGCTCGGGATGATGGCATAGCACACACCACAGTTTTAGCCTGGGAGTTAGACTCTGATATTTTGATATGATCCATAAATTTATTATGACATTTTGAGATACATGATTCATGGGTTTATCCTTTAATATTTGATATTATGGTTTAGTAAAGTTTTCAAACAAAAAATTTTGGGTTGTATTTTTGGGTTGTATTTTTGGGATGTTACAAGTTGGTATCAGAGCCTTGGTTTGAGGGATTCGGGCACACTTTCGTGTGTGTCTGAACTCAAAATAAGGAATTGGTATAGAATTTTCAAAAAGAAAAATCATTTTATAAAAGGAATTCTTTTTAGAAAAGAACTTTGAAAAGAGAAAAGGGTGTGTGCATGCAATCAGCCGAGCCCAA